TCCACACTGCCCTTCCTCCTTATAGCCATTCTCCTACCCACGGCTATATCCTTTCTTACTTTGTTTTCTTCCCTCTCAATGCTAAAATCCGGCGTGGAGATTACCTGGACATCTCCCAACCATCTCCCCCAAATTCCTAGTTTAAAGCTCTCTTAATCAGTTGTGCCAGCCTCCATCCTAGACGTCTATTTCCTTCCCTACTCAGATGAAGTCCATCCCGAGAGAACTGTCCTCTGTCCATGAATGCCTCCCAGTGGCCACACATTCCAAAGCCCTCCTTATAGCACCACTGCCTGAGCCATCTGTTGATAGTCACAGTCTTGTCACACCTTTGTTGCCCTTCTCTAGGAACAGGCAGAATCCCACTAAAGATCACCTGAGCCTCGATTTCCTTAAGCGTCTTCCCCAGCCTAGCATAGTCTCCCTTGATACGTTCCAGCAAGAATCTACTAGTATCATTTGTTCCCACATGAAGGATAATTAAGGGATTCTTTCCCGCTCCCTTTAGGATCCTTTTCCACCTCAGGTCTACAACCCGTATTTTAGCACCTGGAAGACAGCACACCCTTCTATTTTCTGGATCAGCTCTGGTTACAGGCCTGTCTATTCTTCTCAGTAAAGAGTCCCCGATCACATAGACCTGCCTTTTCCTGGTGACTTTGCTATTCTCCAATCTATCCCCTGTTCCCTCTGGGTGCAAGTTCTTTCTATTCCCATTCTCCCTTGTAATCCTCTTCAACCCATCCTGTATCTTCCTGGGACCTCATATTTGGTGTAGTCTCCATTGACTCTTCCCCTAACAATGCTAACAATCACCACATAGAGCACAACCAAGTGCTGCCTATCAGCATTGTTCACTCATGCCTCTCGTCAATCGGGGGAGCAGCATACTTTCACACCTACCATGCATAGACCCTGTGTACTTCCATAGCTGAGCACACGCGCGTACCAGAGTAAGGACTGAATAAAACCTGAATAAACCCCTTACAGGGGAAGGCTGCTGAGGTGGTTGGGATTATTGTGGAGGATTCCTGAGACTAAAATTCAACTCCGTGTTCTGCCACAGACCTCCTGGGAGGACTGTTTCCATCCTAAATCTGAATTGGTTTTGGTTCCAGGTCTTGTCTCTGGACACCAGAGTCTGATACGGGTGCAGCTTCTTATGGGGCTCCCCCCTAGGTGCCCAATTGTGAGCTGCCTCAAGCAACATTTATCCTGGGAGCATCAAACTTTCGCTAGGCCGGTTCAAAGGCAAGGCCCCTGCATCCTAAAGAAAGCTTGTGTTGGAGGCAAACAACTGTCCAATTTCTCTTATCACCTCCTGCAAGCTGCTACCAAGTTTGGAGCAAGAGGAGGAATAATTAGGGCTTGATCCAAATCTGACTGAAATCAATGGAAAGATTTTCCTGATTCCAGTGTTTTCACAAAGTTCTTTAAATGTTGTCATTTTAGTGTTTACATCTGGGATTCTTTCTGGCCTTTGAATCTAATTTTCCATCTGTGGGTTTTTAAAAAAAAAAAAAAAAAAAAATTTTACTCTTTCACTCCTTTTCCCCATTAACTTGTAGGTGCAGTTAATTTAAAAAGTTTCACACACATTTAGTCTAATGCAATGTGCTCACTAGCAAATGTCCAGACCATTAGGAAATGTCAGAGGCCATGGCAGGACCAGTTCATAGGGTGACCAGATGTCCCAATTTTAAAGGGACAGTCCTGATATTTGGGACCTTGTCGTATATAGCCACCTATTACCTCCTCCCCCGTCCCGATTTTTCACACTTGCTATCTGGTCACTCTACACCAGTGAATTATGGAGCAATTATTTGCTGTCCATTTCTAATGCCACAGTCCAGACAACATCATAAATCATTAGCACGTTGTTAGGGGTTGGGGAAAACAGGGCTAGAATTATTCCAGGTTTGTTGAGCCTTTGGTAGTATAAGGAGCTAGACCTTTCCTGGTGGAAATCATATGGAGTGAAAGCTGCCAGCCGTCATGATTTTACCATGAGTTTTGCAAGAGCTGAGGGTTAAGTTTATCAGAATTTCTAGATTTTTTTCATCAAACCTGTGAGGTTTAAACCTTATCCCCAAATGGCCACCACCTCCCACTACTGTCAACAGGCCAAGATGGCCGTCATTTCTCTGCAGCCTGTGGAGATGAAAGTGTGCCTTCCCGGAGCAAAAATGGCTGCCATCTTCCATTATTTCCAAGGGGACTAACGCCAGGCTGCTCTCAGGAAAGGCAGCAGGCCTTAGTTACGAAGGCAATGCTGATACCGCGGCTGGGCGGTGTAATTCCCAGCTCAGGGAGATATACGCTCATTCTCTCTGCTCAAGCTAGCAGCTGAAAATAGCAATGTGGCCACAGCAGCGTGATGAGTGGCTGACGGTAGCCGCCCAAGTGTCTCCTCAGGGCGTCAGGCACGGCTGTATTCAAGCCGCCATCCGTGCTGCTGCGCTGCAATTTTTAAGCGCTAGCATGTGTCTGTCCCTCCACACACTCCAGCAACGTCACCAGACACCCCTGCAGCCCCCCGGCTTTTTCCTGCGTGCAGAGAACAGGCTTCTCACGCCCTCATTTCATGGGGGTGGCCCTGAGGAGGAAGCAAATGACCGTGTCTCACCCTTGAGAAGTACCGGACGCATGGAGCTGTGACTATGGAGTTATTGTGGCCATTGGGTTAGTACCACTGCAGCTGGATTTGCTTTCTACTCCGTGGAAGTTCTATCCATTTAATCATCATCATCACCCAGGCAGAAAGTTCACCAGGAGACTTTGTAATCGGATACATTCATGGAGTCGGGAGAGCTAATTGCAGGAAAATATTATGGCTTTCAGAATGACTCAGTGATCCTCCAGACTAGGACTTTTTGATCACAGAATGGGAAAAGGGGAACAACAAAATGAAAAACGTGAAGTCTGAAAACTCAGAATGAGTGCCTCCCTGCTAATTGGTTGCTTCATTATATTAGTGCTTGTTGCCCTAATACAGCATAGTGATGAGCTACGTCTTGCTATAAGCGTGCAAGCTGCACGCTAAGATAGTGTCTCTATAATTGTATGAAGTTATGGAAAAAGAAAAGCTCACATTTCATATCCGATTTTCTCCTGAATAACTAATAACACATTGCTGGAAGCTGGGCAGCATACAGCAATGTCCTCATTTGCTGCTTGGGCTCTCTGCTAAATCACAACAGTCTTGTGAGCAGAACAAGGAGAGGAAAATAGAAGACCGTTTCCTACAAGCTGATCAGCTGACATTTAATTGTGGTTATGCTGATTTTATTGGTTTTGGCTCCATCTTCCCCTCTCTTACACTACTGTCTAAATACAACAGTTGCATCTTTTGCCATTGAAAACAAAACCTATTTAATGTCCGGCACAAAAGGGAATAAACGTTGCTGACTTTATGTTTTTCAAGGACAAATGATTCTGTGGGGAAAAAAAATATCTGTGTTAGCTGCAACTCACATTGAAGTGGGGAAATTATTAGCCATAAAAACCTAATACAATCCATCAATTATCTGGCAAATCCGTCCTTCGCAAGTAAGAACAATGACCATCATTTCAATTTTGCTAGGACTGACGAAAAATATTGACTGAGAAAATTAGCAAACTGATGGGCCACTACAAAGTAGTGTTTTCTATTTATTTGTTTTTACAGTATTTTCTGTTATTCAGTATTTCGATATGCCTCCATTGAGAGAAGGGGCAATTAATGCAACCAGTGTCAAGACGATTCATGTCACATACATACGACTTTAGCTTCAAGCTAAATTCTCAAACAGTCTTTTGTAATTCTCCCTAAAAATAAGTTTTAAATAAACAGGAAAGCTCACTATACTGACTATGTTCAAGAGTGCTGTGTGTATTAGCTTGCAATTCACATGATCACTTTTTTAAACAGTTCTGACCAGATGCTGCAAAATATATCTCCTGCCTATTAGTCTGCAAAAAAAAAAAAAAAAAAGGCCTGTACAGGCAAAGAAGTGTAATAATCAATCATTTTTCTATTCAGCAGCTGTAGGAATACTTGCATACTCTTATACCTTGCACTCCTTTGTCTAGTTTTGCTGGGAAAGCCAGTGGCAATGAACACCTCTTTTGTGAATTTGCCGCAATGTTGCAACTAAAGGAGTTGAGACTTTTTAAAATAGGAGAATAGCTGTGTTAGGGTCGAGTTCTGTGCTAACTGAAGTCAGCAACAGAGCTCTCATTGACTTTAATAGTGCAGCATCAGGCCTTTCGTGGGTCTGGAATACCCAAGAGCAACAGCCCACTTGCTGCTGAGTGTTACCCTCACACGGAGGCTGCTATGAGAAATACTCCTGTGGGGTTCAGTTCTGTCATCCTTAGACAGACCAGTCCCGCTGCCGTTAAGGGGGCTGTTTGGAGAGGAAGGGCCTGCTCAGTGACTAAAGGCGTCAGAATTAAACCCACAATATCCACTGTTCATCAAATGAATCATTAAAAATGGTGGGGAACGTTCTTATTTTTTCTCACCATTTATTGTTTCCTCATCTTATCTCCAGAGTAGGTGGCTCTCACCTCTCCAGGCACAAGTGAGCCAATTTTGTCCCCATAGTACCTAAAGAGCAAGGATGTGAGGTCCAAGCATGGGGAAGATTTTTCTTCCTGGGTCCCCTCAGAGGGGCCAAAGGAGACTTTTCTATCTAGGGGAGGGTCCAGAGGGAGCTATTGGCAGATCTCAGCTGCCTTTTCTGATGCATATTGGCTTTGTTTGCAACTGAAGAGGTGAGGGGAGATAAAAATAGCTTTTGGCAGATCTCAGCTGCATTTCCTGTTGCGTATTGGCTTTGTTCACAAAAGATGAGGGAAGATAAAAATCACAGGGGAGATGCAGTAATGCAGCCTGTACAAGTCCACCTGGAACCCTGGGTATGTATTTGCTAGCCCGTGCTGGGTCCACGCTGCCAGGTCCTCATTGCTATTTTTATCTGAGCGAGCTAGGTTAAAGCTAATGCAGGTACGCCAGCCCGGGCGTCAGTCGCACCTCCCACTGCAGCGTAGGCATACCCTAAGAAACAAGCTTCTCTCCAAGTCTAATAGAAACTGGTGAGTATTATGGATTATTTATTTATTTACATTTTAATTACAAAATGTGCCTGATTACTGAAGAATATTGAAGGTGGCTGGAATTAATGTACTAGTGCAAAAAGCCACTAAAGAGTGTCAGTTTCTCAATGGCACCAGAGCGCTGAAGAGGGATCAGTAACAAAACAGACACAGATTTGGCACAAGACCTTCAGCTGCATCTCTGCCTTGGTACATTTCGAAGAGGGCCCCAGGGGACACAAAAGAGGAATGGAGTTTTGTTTGGATTGGCCACAATAGTGATATTTGGACAGTTATTAAATGCTGGAAAAAAGACATATGTGCCTCTTGTCGACAGAAGCCCGTTAATACCGAATGCAGCAGAGAAAAGGCTTGAGAATGGAGCCTCTTGGGGGAATCTTACCCCTGTAATGCTGCCAAGGTCGATGTCAACCTGAGTTGCCTACATTTTAAACACTGGTTGCTTCAGTTAGATCGATCTGTGAGGCCAGCTGGACCTAGAAAGATTTCTGAAAATGCAACTGCATAATCCCTAGATTATAATACATAGATTCTCTACTGCTCCTGGTTCCAGAACAGCCCCACAAGCAGCCTCTTGGCTAGGGTGAATTAGGTGAGAGGCCAAAGCCACATTTCGCCCTTCCCTTTGCATTTTCTGTGCTGAGTGCAGTATAGTGTAGCAAGTGCAGCATAGAATCTCACCGTCTCTTTACATGTTCATCCAACACCTTGGATGGGCTCTTCTCCGCATGAGGTCTTTAGGATCAAAGTCTAAATAAATAGATAAAATGCATAAATGGTAGTTGTTGTTCAGGGATGGTTTTCTTGAGTAAGGACTACAGCTTTTACTTTTAAAGGTGACCTGAAAAGGGGTGGGGGGAGTTGGGGTCATGCCCTTGTTAGCTTATTTGTGATACAGTCTTTTAGAAAATTCTGCTTGATGTTTACCTTACAAACCTCAGGAATGACAAGTCTGATTTTCCCTGTTTTTCTGGAGATCTTTCTTGGATGATTGAGATATGGATTGGGAGCAAGCTCTGCCTTAGAAGGGGTTCAGGCAGCAACTCCTTAATAAAGATGTTTCTCCCAAGGCTTTAAAGTAGGGGTTTACAAAGACAAATTTAAAAAAAAGTTTTGTACAGTGTGGACAAAAGTTACATGTACTCCCCATTACAGAAAATGCACTTCTCGGCAACTGCCATCAGTTCTCCTTGTTGTCCATAGACCCTTCCACTGTAGACATGGACTGACCTCCTCATGTGAAAGAAATATTTTTCTTCTCTTTTCAGATGCGAAAAAACCCCAGCATCATAAAGGAGGAGAATGGATAGACAATGATTCCTTTGCAAGTCACCTCCACATTACCAGTTCACTCTGCAATATCATAGTTCTTCCAGTGCAAACCATCTGTTACTCAGTCACTTTAGCTGACAGTAGTTCTCTTTTTGTTCCTATTTCTATTGCTCTTGAGACTTTTCTGTAGCCTTGACATGATGTGGACTATTTACATGTAACGGCGCCAGATGGATAAATATATCTTTTGCAGGTGCATTAACAAAGCTATGCCAAGAAATTCTGGAGCTGAGGGTAGATTCAAGCTCCTTCCAAAATACTCAAAAGCCTGAAGCATAAATGGCTCAGCCTCACATGGCAGATTTTACCTCATTACAAGCAAATCCCAAACCTGAATTGAACGGAGGACTTTAAACAATAGAAATAGCTTTATCAAATGTCGGCTAGTTGGTGTTTGCTAATGAAACATGCTATTCTCAGTGTTGTTTTCAGGAACATAAATTGGCATATTGTGGCAGAACACACACACAAAAACCTAGCTAAAAGTTTTCATCTTTGAATTTGCTTACAGAAAAGTTTGGAAAGCCTGCCATTCTATATCACACAGTTCGCCACAGTGGGTGCAGAGCAGAATCAGCGATCCAAGTCCTTGAAGCAGCAGTTCGGTTTGAGCTGTTGCAAGGTAAGGCATGCAGGCCTGTTCTTTTACTAGTGTTACAGTGTTGAGTCCATATTGGGGGGGTTGTAAAAGCACACTGTTACCAGAGCACCCCCTTGTGACAGTGTACAGTACAGACTCAGGTTCCCTTTTGGTCTTTTGCAGCTCCACCCAACCTCCCAGACCTTCTGGGTTGTACAGGAGCTACCTAGAGCACTAAGTCACCTCAGTTCTACCCCTTCCAAGGAACCCAAAGTCCAAGACAACTATGAAGAAACAAACTCTCCCATTTCCTTGGCGAGAACTGATCAGCAACAACCCGTGCTAGCCAGCCTTCTTTGCCACATCTACCTTCCCTGCCTGCCTCTCCCCAGCTGAGCAGAATTTCTCCCTGGAAACCTGAGTCCTGCCCCAGATGTTGCAGGTCTGGCTGATTGGGCCTCTGGTAGCTCACTGACCCTTTCCTACGTGGAGTGGGGTTTGTATGACCTCTCGCAGGGGCTTATTTTTCCATCGTACTATTCTATTTGCAGGGCTAGAAAGACACACCTCTCCTGATTTTTAGTGAGAATCTTGCGATAATTACTATTTTTCTTAAAAACCCCAGCTCCTGGAGATGGAGAATTGCATGGGATTATGTTTTCTTTCATTTTAAAAGACACAGTACACTTTTCGCTCTTGTGATGGAGGAGAAGAGCTTGAAACCGTGAGACTCAAAGGCTCACAAAATGGAAAGCAAATAAAGAAAACCCCAAATGTTTATTTGCTAAAAATAAAAAAGTTATTTAGTTTTTGGGGACTGGCTCATGATATCTGAATGTTTGGAGGAGCAATGCTGAGACAGGTAGCTCAATATTTTCATACTTTGGGTCAAAAATTTCAAATGCCACTGGTGATTTTGGGTGCCTCCATTTTGGGTGTCCAATTTGAGACACCTGAAATCAGGCCCCTTTCAGATGGCTTCAGGTTGGGCCCGCAAGCCAGAGGCACCCAAAATCACCAGGTACATTTGAAAATCTTGGCCTCAGTGTCTAAAGTTAGGCACCTATGTGACTTGACTTTGAGCTTCTGAGCACGTGCAGTTTCCATGTAAGTCAATGAGATCTGCAGATGCGCCGCACCTCTAGGAATCGGCCACTTCCTCTGGCAGCCATGTTTGAAAACGCCACCTTTCATTACTACAGGATAACTGCGGGAATGCTGTCGGAGTGCAGCACAAAACGCTAAGATGCTGTTCCTCTCTCCGCTCAAAGTCAGTGGCTGGCAGGAAGGAGAGCGTGCGACAGAGTGCAACCGCCCTCACTTGGGAGTTGGTCAGGAAGCGGGGGGAATGCTGGTAGCTTATGGTCATTTTTCTCAAACCAGTAGAAATGTTTTAAGTGCACCCATGATTTAATGATCCAGTGAGGAAAGGAATGTCAAGATAGAGGGTAAAATAAAATTTTCAGAAGTGCTCAAGTGACTTCTCTGATTTTCAGGAGTGACTTGGGCATCTAAGACCCTAAGTCTCTTTAAAGACAATGGGACTTGGGCATTGTTGAGAATTTTACCCAGAGATCAACAGGGGGATACAAAAGCAAGGGTCAGGACCTACACTGAGCAACACCACTGAAAGCCATTTCCCAGTGCCAACGTTACAAGGGCCACCACATGAGGACCTGTTTAAAGAGCAATCTTTGGGGCTATTAAGCTGTAGGAAGATGAGAAACCCCCATGGGTCTTTCATCATTTTTTCTTTTAAACAGGCAGTGAGTTCGACTTGAACACATAAGCACAATGAGGTTTCAAACCTGGGGAAAGGGTAACACAGCTTGTTCGGACATTTCTGTTTCCTGTAAGACACTTTTAATAAAGCATTCATTTTAGATTGACGCAGAGATGGGCTTGGATCTAGATCCAAATTCCCCCACAGTTCAGGGCTGTTTGGCTCTGCATTTGGGGGTCTGGCCCATTTCTGTTTTTCATATGTTAGAGGATTATCTCTGTCCACATCCAGCAACACTCTTCCCCCCCGTCCCCTCTCCCGGCTTCCCCAGTAGCATTCTGGCTTCTCCTTTTGTGACTCTGCTAGAAACATGGGAGCTCTCTTCCCCTTGCTCTCTGGAGAGGTACATTTTACCTCTTTCAGAGTTTTCCCTTTTCCCCTGCACTTCACCTCTGGTTCGGTTCTACAAGCCAACGACCAGGGCGGAGGATGGCATGTGATGGCAACTAGCAGCGGGATACGTGAGTGGCCTGAGCTCAGTTGGGTTTGAGGGTGAGAGAGAAAGAATGAGGTGAGCTTGCAGGAAGGACTGGAGCATGGGGAGGGGGGAAGGTGCTGGAACAGGTGAGACGGGGGCCTGGGGAAGGAAGAGAGAGACTGGGCTGGAGGGGGAGGGAGGAGACATTGGAGTAGCTCATGGGAGGTAGCAGAGTCTGAAGTCAGTGAAAACAGCACCAGAGGTGAGAGACAGGAGAAGGCCAAAGGAGGAGAAAGGAACTTGTATTGTAGCCTTTCAGGGGTCATAGGGAGGGGTGGTCTCATGGTGTTGCAGAGACCACTCTGTCCCATTTACGGGTGAAATTTCTCTACTGGTTAGAGCAGCCTTAGGACTGCTCTAACTTACTCTCACTGTCCCCTGTGGGTCCTGGGAAGCAGAAAATAGACATAGGGCAATCACCTCTGGCCATACTTACTCTCTGTCCCTGGTCCACTCTCAACACACCCCCTATACTAGGGGCTGGGAACAGGGCTGGCAGGGAGCCTTCATCCCAGTATTACACTGTCCTGGGGATGCTTTATCAGGGGGCAGTTTTTTCTCTCTGTACAGCACCCTAATGGTGCCAGAGCAGCGTGAAGGGGCCGTGGTGTAGCTGAGAATCAGGGTCGGTGAGTCTGACTGGAAATAGTTTCCAGCACATGGCAGCAATGGGCAGAAATCTTGCTTTGGCCCAGTTATTAACATTCTCTGCCTGTTCAGACGCAAAAGTACCAGCATTTTGTTATAATTTTTGCAGTGTTCAGATTTTCCTGGGGAACACACAAGCCATTAAAATGTGCTTCTGCTCAGGCGACATTCTAATCCTTTTTTCCTGCAAGCTGCTAAAACGCTTACGGCCTTTATTCGTTCTGCTATTGAAATTACCATTGGGCACTAAAACGGCTTTATCCCAAGCTATGGCAGGTCATGGGTGTGATGACAAATGCTTACAAATCCCTGCATGTGAGGTTTGTCTAGCATGATGGTAAATCTCAAGAACTGTACAACGCCGTGGGGCGAGCACAAAAGGAAGGGAGAAAAGTTGGAAATATTTCATTGTGATTTTCAGCTGTGCAAAGCACAATAAATCTCATTGAATGAAAGGAAATAAAAGTACCAGGCCCTAATTTCATTTCTAACCCTTTAACATGGCTCCATGAATATTGTATCCACAGCTGGAGACAGACAGGGATGCTTCCCATCCCCACTCTCCAGTGGCACAGAGGGAGTGGAGATTCACTCAACATAACTACCCTGCTGTGGGTTCACCGTGGGGGGCAGAGGCCAATGGAGCTGGCTCCTATGCTACCTACACTGTAGGAGCATATCAGGGTGGGGAAGGAGAGTGGCTAGATACACTCTGGATGTCCATGCGGGACCCTAGCCAGCTGCCATAGGTTAGAGCAGCCTCAACTCTGCTCTAACCTGGGGCCAGAGCTAGACAAAGTCAGGAAGCTGTAACCGGCTCCTTGGCAGTGCCCTCTCTCTGCTGCACCCAGCAGACGCCAGATACTGCACCCAGTCTATTGTATATCACCAGATACTCAAAACTAAAGCGTAGCTAATCTATACGCCATTGACTATTGTAGACACACAAAAGCCCTACTCAGTTACATACATTTAGACAGCATTCCCTTTGCTACAGGATATTAAAGGGTCATACCCACTCTCTTCACTAGTATGGAAAACAATCCAAAAACCTGCCATTGCAGATGTTGAGCACCCAAAACTCCCAATGACTTCAGGGAGAGTTGTGGGTGCTGGGCACTGCCCATGGTCAGCCAGGACTGAGAAAATCCAAAACATAACAGGCCAGATCTCCACCTGGTGTAAATACACATAGCCCCATTGGAGTAAAAAGGACCAGCTCCCCCCTGGTGTAAATATGCAGCTACTCAAGTTAGACGTTTTTAAATCAGCAGGTCCAGATAACTTGCATCCAAGAGCTTTAGAAGAGCTGGCTGAGGAGCACACTGGACCATTAATGTTGATATTCAACTAGTCTTGAAACACTGGGGAAGTTCCAGAAGACAGTGAATGCTGTGCCAATTTTTAAAAAGGGTAAACAGGATGACCCAGGAATTATTGGCCTGTCAGTATGACATCATTCCCAGGCAAGATAATGGAGAGGCTGATGCAGGACTCGATTAATAAAGAATTAAAGGAGGGTAATATAATTAATGCCGATCAAAATGGGTTTGTGGAAAATAGATCCTGTCAAACTAACCTGATATCTTTTTTTTTTTAAATGAGATTACAAGTTTGGCTGATAAAGGTAACAGTGTTGATGTAATATACTCTGACTTGGTACTGCATGACATTTTAATTAAAAAAAACTATACAAAATGAACATGACACATTAGATGGATTAAAAACTGGCTAATTGATAGGTCTCAAAATGTAACTGCAATCTGGGAATCATTGAGTAGGTATGTTTCCAGTAGGGAAACATTGAGTAGGTATGCTCCCACAGGGATTGTTTTTTTGGTCCTACTCTATTTAACCTTTTTATCAATGATCTGGAAGAAGGCGTAAAATCATCACCGATACAAGTTTGTAGATGATGCAAGAATTGAGGGAGCGATAAATAATGAAGAGGACAGGTCACTGAATTTCTTTGTTAGCTGGGCACAATCAAACAATATGCATTTTAATACGGCTACATGTAAATGTACATGTGATGCTGGCCAACCAGGTGCCAGCTCATGCCAAGGCCCCCATGACTCAATTGAACACTGACAAATGAATAACCAGAGTCAGCATTAGGGCTGTTAAAACAGATGTTAGAGGTATAAGAATGTGTTTAGTGTCTAGACTTTATTGAATGATTGTAAATTGCTGCCGACATTAATCTCACTTGTAACATCTGTGTCCCATAGCATAAGGGAACATTTGAGTGGTTGTCCTGTGTGCTTCTATGACTGTGTAAATCACCAGACAGGAGAGAGACATTAATTAGTGTGAGGGGCTGATCTTCAACAGAAGGTGTTACCCCCTTACCAACAGGAGAGATCCATCAATACCGAGGGCAGACTGTTGTGGGGCATTGCATCTGCAATTTCCCTGCATACCGCCAGCAAGAAGACAAAAGACTCTTCTTGTTCTGCCTCCTGCCCTTGAAAATGAGTCATGCAAGGGACTCCTCCCATCAGCTGAGCGTTGCAGCCAAAAGCATGGGGTAGAAGAGAACAGCAAAAAGAGACTGATTATCTCTATGCTGCTTTGATGCTGGGGCGGGAGGCAAAGTGTTTCTAAGCATAAGCAAGAGATCCCCAACTGCTTAGCCTGGGTTAGCCCTAAAGGACTATTACTATTCTATTACCTTTTGAAACTATTGGTTGCAACCCATTTGTATCTATCTGTTTTAACCTTGTAAATAACTCTTTGGTTTCCTTTCTCTATTTAATAAATATTTATATAGTTTATTATAGAATTGGCTGCAAGCATTGTCTTCGGTGTGAATCTAAGGTGCAACTGATCTGGAGTTGGTGACTGGTCCTTTGGGATTGGGAGTAACCTGAATATTGCTGTGATTCTTGGTGTAAGGGACCATCTGTCACATAGGTGGCAAGATAGTGCCCTTAGGTACACCAGTCGATCGGTGAATCCATGTTATAGTGCCCGAGGAGTTTATACCTGATAATTGGTCCATGAACGAAGTACAGAGCACACAGCCAGTTTAGGGTTTGTGCCCTGGTTCCTACCAGCCTCCCTGAGGTTGGTACCCAAGTTGCAGGCAGCATAACAGTAGATATCTAGGAACAAAGACCAAAGGCCATACTTTCAGGATGCAGGTTCTTTCCTGGGAAGCAGCGACTCTGACAGAGACTTGGGGATCATGGTGGAGAATCAGCTGAACATGAGCTCCCAGTGGGATGTTGTGGCCAAAAGGACTGATGCGAGCCTGGGATGCATTAATAGGGACTCTTGAGGAGGAGAAGAGATGGTATTTTACCTCTGTGTTTGGCATGGTCTGACCGCTGCTGGACTCCCGTGTCCAGTTCTGGTGTCCACAATACAAGAAGGATGTTGGTGAACTGGAGAGATTCAGAGAAGAGCCACGTGAATAACTAAAGGATGAGAAAACAAGCCGTTTAGTGATTGAGTTCCTTGAGTCTATCTATTTAGCTTAAGAAAAAGAAGGTTAAGGGGTGACTTGATGACAGTCTAATTACCTACATGGGGAACAAATATTGGATAATAGGCTCTTTAATTGAGCAGAGACCGGTCTGACACAATCCAATGGCTGGAATTTGAAGCTAGACAAAAATCCAACTGGAAATAAGGCATCATTTGTTAACAGTGAAGGTAATTAACCCTTGGAACAATTTACCAAGGGTGATGGTGGAATCTCCATCGCTGGCAATTTTTAAACCAAGCTTGGATGTTTTCCTAACAGATCTGCTGTAGGGATTATTTGGGGGAAGTTCTGCAGCCAGTCAGACTTGATGATTATAACAGCTCCTTCTGGCCTTGGACTCTATAAGTCAGTGGGCCAGATCCCCACCTGACCTATATCTGCATAGCCCCGTGGCAGTTGATTTAAACCAGCTGAGGATTTGGCCCAAGATATTAATTTAAACTGGGTGTGAGTGCACGTTGTGAGGAGAAGCAAACCTTGGGTAAGCTGTTGCCTTTCCCTGTCCATTCTCAGGCTCTCTCGTTGAAGGTGATGTAGCACCAGGACAGAGCAAAAGCTCAGTTCAGTTCACACTGTGAACCAAAGCTTAATGGCAACAAATGGATCAGGAACCACCACCAACCATTTATTCTGTTATCAAACCAATCATTCAGAATCTACCAGCCCCAAGGAATCCAACAACATCCCCACAAATACCTTGCACGTATGCTCTCAAGAAAGTTAAAATATAATAAACTTAAAAATGAAAATGCATCAGATGATTTGCTGCTGCTTTGTACAGGCCTTTGCTCTGATAAGAAACACTTCTCATGCTGTTAAATGATGGGAGACGCAAGTGCATCCCTCACATTTCAGCTTTGCCTGCTGAAATCACTCCCCAGTGTGATTGATCAGCTGCACATTTGAGGCCTTCTGATGGTCTTACTCATCCGTAAAAATTTTGA